ATAAGAGGCAGTCAAGGAAGGTGAAGAGTATCCTAAATATGATGAGTTGGAATGCGTCTGACTGGTCATACTTCAATTGCCTCCGGGATCGATTCCGAACTACCCCGGAATTGATCCCGGGGTCGGCACCTGCGCGGCATGTGTGTCCGTGCCTCGGGCACCGTCTGCACCAATGATCTTCAGTGTATTCAGTAACCATCTTCTCCGCAATCCGGGGTCCGGAGATACCGGTGGCAGTACATTATACCGGCGTGCAAGTTGGTGTATGAGAGTGAGAGGATGAACAACTGTGCTCATGCCATGCCTCCGGAGTGACCGGCAGAGTATAAGACGCTAGGCCGAATTGGGGAAGGTATGCAAATGGTTGAGATGCCGAGACTCGCAGCTTTGATACAAATCACGATTCACTGCGAAGTACCACGTTTTGATTGATTGTGGAGGGCTCTAATTTGAATGTTAGACCAGGGTCATTGTGTCAAAGCTATGTTAGCAAATGATCCTCGGTCATTTGTCGACGAAGCGCTACATCATGATCCATCGGACTCTGTCCGAGCTTTTATTGTTCCATGACTTCTATGATACCTCTGGAAGCAAGGATATGAAGTACGATGTTGATTGCCAGAGACCCAATAGTGAGTTACTAAACGGCCACCAACGTGTGGAAGGCGCTGACCTCAGCTACAGTGGAAAGGAGCAATGTTCATAACAATCATCTGATTCGTCATAGTTCGACTAAACAAACCCTCTGGACCAAGCTGTACCAGTATGCATAAAGGTGCCCTCATTAACTGTGTCCCAAATCGTAATATATGATGCTCGTAACCCGTCTTCACCCACAGTGCGTAGGCGCCATCTGTATCCACTCCCAACGCCAGCGCCGGTGCAGTAAATGCCTCATGCCTTGCGAAATGCAAGCGGACGAGAGAAGAAAAAGCGTATCCATGCGATATCTTACAGGAAGTACTCACTGCGGCCCGGCCGCGACGTCGGCACATGTCGTTGATCGTCACTGACCGCGCTGAAGAGCTTGAACGTCGGTTTTAGATCGTCGTCGATCTCGCACACGGAGGCGAGGTTGCCGCATCGGTAGCAGTAGTTGGGAGCACTCCACACGGTGACCACGTTTTGGTTGGCGAAGTGATACTTGTAACCCTCGTTGACCAATTGATGGGCTCGGGCGATCAGGGTCAGGTCATTGACATGGCAGAACTCGTCTGCAACCTTGTCTCCGAACAGCCAGCCTAGAAGGGTCAGTAAAGAGAATAGCACATCTTGTGGACGAATACGTACCTGCTCCTCTGGGACTCACTGCCCATGTCTCCACATCATCGGGGTCAGACCAAACCAGGTCACAAAAAGCACCTTCGTGCGGAATTTCTTGGGCTCTCGCGACCACCCGCACTTGATCCAGTGTTCTAATCTCTGGGCTCAGTCCACCGTGCACACAGAGCACCCTACCGTCGATGATGGCGCCCAATGTCATGAAATCGAAAACCTGGCAGCAAGCCTTCCATACGGACGCATTGCCATACTTTTGAAAGCACTCCTCGTAGAAACCGTAGACTTGAGTGATCTGGCGAGACTCGTGGTTGCCGCGTACCAGCGTAACACGATCAGGATACCTACATATACTGTTAGAATCGGTGCAGCCCTTCCAGTAAATATAACTCACTTTGCCTTCAGGCACAGCAGTAAGGTGAGGGTCTCCAAACTGAAGTACCCTCTGTCCACGTAGTCACCAAGGAATACAAAGTTTCGATTCAATGTAACCTCATTCGAGCCTGCGCTGGAAGACCGACCGCGCTGGCTGTTATTGGAGCCCGTCTCATCTGCAAGATCATCCGAGTTTCCGGAGTTCCTCAACTTCTTGCGCAGCTTGGGATCGGTAATGGTGGAAGGGGGTTCGATGTCCTCCGAGGTGATGACGGAAGGCGACGTTTTAGGCGGCTCGACATCAGGTTCATCGGGCATGCCTCCAGAGACCCGGAACAGCTCTAACAAATCGTAAAATTGACCGTGAATATCTCCACAGATGGTCACAGGCGTTGAGACCGGCTGAATGTTCGACTCTGGAAAATGCGACCCGTCAGTCTCTGGTGAATCGGTCGCCACCTGCTCGAACTAAAGCCCACCTTCCATCATAAACTCCTTGACGATCTCACAAAGCTGTTTCATATGGAACTCCGAGAGGTATTTGCAGTCCTTTGCGGCCTCCAGCCACTCATCAGGGCCGGCATTGCGCTTCAACTTGGCCGGTCCCGGCTGAGGGACCTTACTGTCCACCATGATGAACTTGTGCGTATGAGTGAACAAAGTGGAAACAGTGCAATTAAAGGCAGTAAGAAAAGTAAAGTAATGAATAAACTAGTCTTTCCAAGGAAAGTCGCTCGTATACACCAGAGCACACGGGTTGCTTAGCGGGATGCGCGCCGGCGGTCTTTCCCCGCAGGGGATGTTGGCTTTGGGTTAGTGAAGATGCTCACGCCAATTCCCGGGATCGGTCACGTGGTGCGGGCGGAATCTCCTGCACGATAACAGCTTCATCACTCATTCAGGCACAGCGCCACATGTGATTGCGGCTGCGGAGTGCCTATCTTTTTGCTTTCTCTCACCTTACACCGTACTATATATCTGTCGTTTCAGTACAACATTTTCATCCCACTCTCTCAGCGATACTCCCATCCTCTAGTTGGGGCGGAAGTCCCAACACATCAACCTATCGATCATGACGCAGATCCCTGCGGGCAAGTCTACAGGAGGTGTTCTCCAGATCCCCGCAGCTGCCACTCAGAAGAATGCCTCTGCGGCACCAAAGAAGGCTCCTAAGCCAGCTGCGCCCCGATTGAAGCTCCTCGTCAGACGTCTCCCACCCGGACTAACACAAGCGGAATTCGAGACAGCGTTGGGCTCAGAATGGAGGGTTGGCGGTGGGAAGGTCGACTGGTTCCAATACAAGCCAGGAAAGGTCTCTAAAGAGTAAGCCAGCGTTGCATTCTGTGAAGTCTTCCGCTAACAGTATGCTGTATAGTCCGGCCAAACCTTCTCGACCCTCGCGTGCGTATATCCATGTCATGTCCAGCGACCACACCATCCCGCTCTCGAACAAAGTCCGTCAAACGTCCTTCATAGACGCCCGTAATACCTCGAACGACCCTGTCCTTCTTGGACCCCCGTCTCTGGAATTCGCACCTTATGCCAAGATTGCCGGAAATCGGTCGCGCAAAGATGCCCGTCAAGGAACCATCGATCAGGACCCCGAGTTTATCGCCTTCCTCGAGAGCCTCACGCAGCCACTTGCCAAACCGCCTCCTGTCGATTCTGGCGCTGATGGTGAGGATAAGAAGGAAACGGTGACAGTTACACCTTTGGTGCAATACATTCGAGAAAAGAAGGCCAACAAGGCGAAGGAGTCCAGCAAATCTAAACACAAGTCGGACAAGGACTCCAGGGGGGAGAAGGTCCAAGCGAAGAAGTTGCTACAACGTCCTGACAGGGATACAAAGGACTCTGCTGCTTCAGAGAAACCAGAGAAGAAGTCCAAGTCGGACAAGGCTACCAAGGAAGCGGTGAAGGCCGCTAACAAGCAGGCTGCTAGTGTTGCTGCCAAACAAGCCGCCAAATCGTCACCAGCGCAGAACTCCCCCAAGGATACGCCACAGACATCTACAGAGCGGAAACGCGAACGTGGAAGTGTCGCGGCTGCTGCCAAGATCCTCCAGCGCGACCTTGGACTCGCACCGTCCGGTCGCCGCAGGGGCAAAGCCGCTGCCGCCGATGGAGATACGCCCAAATCCGATCAGAGCGGTACTGCGACCCCGGATACGAACAAAAAGGAGACACCGTCCAGATCATCTAAGGGGGCGAATCGGGACAAGTCAAAGGGCAGCAACACCCAACCACCCAGTGAGCCATCCGAAGCGAGCACCCCAGTCAGTACTACACCTAAGCCGGCAAAGTCTGGGAAGGGGAAGCAAGCATCGGCAGGACCGGCGGCGACCGCTACCCAAGCATTCCTTAAGCACGCCAATCCATCTCAAGGCGTTACCGAGCCTCTCCTAGAAGCGGCATTCGCCCCGTTCGGAAAGGTTCTTAAAGTGGAAATCGATAAGAAGAAGGGATTCGGTTACATTGACTTTGCAGAACCCGACGGCCTTCAAAAAGCCATCGCTGCCAGTCCTGTCTCAGTGGCGCAGAGTCAAGTTGTTGTTCTAGAGAGAAAGGCCAACCCCGGTGGAGAGAAGGGTCGCGGCAAAGGCCGTGGTGAAGCCCAAGCATCCTCGGGAGGCGGAGGCGGCGGCAGCGGCGGTGGTGGTGGTAACAACAGCCGGGGAAATAAGACCAATGAAAGCGGCTCAGGGGGCAACTCGTCTCGCGGACCACGCGGTGGACGAGGGTCCAAGGGTAAAGGAGGTCCCAAGGGAGGCGGCGGAGGAGGAGGAAACAGTGGTGGCAATGCCGGGGCTGCAAATGGGAATCACCCCGAGAACAAGGGGAATTCCGATAGTAAATGAGCCGTTATGATGATACATGTAGTGATGATAATACCAGCAGTTGCCTGCAGTTTATCCCAGCTTTGATGATATAACTATTGATATCCACAGAATGATAGTAACTACTAAGTCAGCTTCCAAATGATGAACAGCACATAATAGACAACTACATATATCAGTTGTATGTAAAATCAGAAATGAACAAGAATATGAAAACCAAGCCTAATGCCAATGCATAAAAGAATACTCCACACATACACACTATACAACTGTTCTTTTTATACTTTGTTCAAGGTACAACCTGCAGGGACATCTGTGGGGCCGAGAAACGGCGCCCCACTCTATAGTATACCACTATGTAACCCTCTAGATCACTTACAGTCAAGCCTCCATCATCAGTATACCATGAATATCTCCAAAAATCTATCAAATTAGACATTACCTAGTATATCAAGTTATCAACAGCCCAGCCCAGTTCAACCCCCACACACTACCTACTCCTACAATTTTCTATGGAACAACCCCCACCGTCCCCCTCTGAAACAGCCCAAAAGCCTTCAAATTCTCCTCCTTCTCCAAAGGCCCCCTACCACTACCCACCTCATCTCTCCCCTCCATCATCACCGACCTAACCAACCCACACTCAACCTCCACGACCGTCCCACCCGCACCCAACTCCCTCCTCAAATACCCCGGCCACTCCACCCCAAAGAACCCATAAATCCTCAACCTCCGCAACTGCCTCAGCCTAGCCAACGCATGCACAAAGAGAATATTATCCCCGAGACCTCTCGCCTCATCGCCTGGTTCCATGTGCGTGAGCCAAGGAATGTTCGTGTCCCATCCTATTTCCAGATATCTTAGACCGGTCGCGTGCTCGGATAGGTTGTGGAGGAGGACGATCCACGACCAGATGGTGGAGCTGGAGTTACTCCAGGGAACGAAGATGTGGAGGGAGCGGAGGAGGGAGGTGTTGAGCGGTCCGATGGAAGTGAGGTGGTGGTGGAGGTGGGTTGGGTGGGTTGTTGAGAAGGTGATTTGGGTGTAGAGGATGGGGAGGGCTTCGGCGTGGATTTGTTTGCAGGTTAGGAGAATTGAGGGGTGGAGGTTGTTGGTTTTGTTGTGGTGTGGGTTGTAGAGGTGTATTTGGTTCTGGGTTGAGAGTTGTGGTCGGTTGTTGGCGATGTTGTTGGCAGCGGAGAGGGTTCGGCGGTGGTGGTGATGGTGGTGATGGTTGGTTAAGAGGTGGGTGTAGATGAGGAGGCGGAGTTCCGGGGGGAGAGTTAAGAAGAGGTTTGCTTTTGGTGGTGGTGGTGGTGGTAGTTCTGTTGGAGCTGGAACTGCAGCTTGCTCTGGATATTCTAGGAGTACAGTAGATGAGTAAAGACTAGGGAGTGTTGTTTTGAAAGTTGGCAGTTTACGTGTTAAGGAGGGTGGTGGTGGTGATGGAATAGGGTCATGGAAATTGTAGAAGGGTACTTTGGTGACATCTTCCACTAAGATGGCCATGACGGTGCTGGGCTGGGCTACATTGCGAGTTCCAACTGTCCTTATGATAGTAGATAAATGCGAACAGAATGTTGGGCCGGAGAATATCGGTGAGATTGAGCGCTATCACATGATAGTACACCGGTTTCCTGGAAGGGCTATATACTTTCGGAATATACTCTACCAGGTAAGTAAGTTCGGAAGATCGTACCGTATCATCGTTTTCTACCGCCTGTCCTATGATGATGACCAATAGCAGGCACTTACTTTATCTACGGTATGATCATTGATGGGAAAGATCTCCGTCCTCTAAAAAGCTACAAATGCCGACTGCCGCAGACCGGCATTGATTACTACTAACTCAAGTCCTCGCATGTTCGGCAATGCACTTCATCGCAAAACATGGTCGGAGAATTCTAGCGTGTCAAAAAGCAGAATACTAAATTATAATTATCATGATGTTGCGAAGTTTTAATCGTGTTAGCCTAGTGTTTGCAGTGTAATCTTAGTCTAAGTATTGAATTCTCGTCGCCATCAGCGATACCGCATACTTCCTGGCGTATACTCAGCAAAGCTTATTCTTCCTCATATGTTCCAGAGCTTTACTAATGGGTAGTTTTGAAGGTTCCATGGAGAAATTGTTCCTAGAATGGCAGCACCGAGTACAACCGGACAGGGTTATAACCAACCGTTGAGTCGCAAACCCATCATAAAACCTAGATTTGTCGAGCCATCAGCTTTAATATCCACTTCCTCCAAGTCACGCAGGACTTTCTCAATGTAATCGCCGGCCCCGCTAAGTTTCAGAATATGTGCAATGGCGCAGTGGACACGGAGAAGTCTGGCGTCTGGTGGCTCAATCCTCCCATTAGGACTAAGGCTCGGAGTACGAGTGACGGGGAAGAGCGGGTCGCGCAGGAATGAAGTTTCAGACGAGTCGATCTTATATTCATGTGGCCTTCCTGTGGGTTCGAAATAGATTTGGAACTCAACAAACAGTCGATGATAATGGTTGGTCAGTGTAAGAGCATTGAAAGGTCTGTCGATATTTGGTCCATCAAGAAGGTGACTGAGCCCAGGATCAAACATATCCAGTATCCGAAACACATTCATCCTTGCCTCACTCTTGGAAAGATTAGTAGCAACTGTTGACGACGGACGTACCAACTCTGACTCTTCCTGCGCCATTGCCAAATTGTGAGGGATGATGTGCGCGACTTCCAGATACTGGAATCCTCCCTGTAATCCACTGCTCAAAAGGTTTCCATCGTCGTCTCTACAGCTATCCCCATCCTGTGCGTTGCGCTTCTTGGCTTCGGCTATATCGAATTTGCGGGATATCACGCACCGGTGATGATCACGTACAAGACAGTTCTTCCGTAAGATTGACACACGCTGTCTGGTGTCTACTGGCGTAGATGTTTGACTCAAGGATACTGCTGCCGGTGTTGCTTGTGGCGTTTTCATTGATGAAAGCCTGACTAAGTGACTGCATTAGTAGGGTAGAGGTTCCAGAGGATAGGGAGTAGTCATACGTGGAAGGAGAAAGTTGTCAACAATATACTCAGCGAAACCTTCGAGAGCACCCTTTATACGCGTCGATTTGCTTGAATCTATACCTTCTGTGAAGGACTCAAGGTAAGACAGAACAGCAGCCATATCAACATCCCCAGTTTCTTCAGGGACTTCGAGGCTCTCATATATAGATGAAAAGAAGAATTCTAGAAACGCGTCCTTGGATGTCACCCGTTCAAACATCTCCAAAATGAGTTTTGCGGGCTTGTATCCCCTCGGTACACGTTGGCCAAGGCCATATTCCTGGATGAAGAGATGCAGAAACGCATGGGCCGTGTTGTTATTTTGTGGAGTTACTTGAAAAGCTGAGGAGGAATCCATAAGGTTCTCAAGATGGTTGATGCTGGCGTTAGGTCATGGTTATAGTTAAGATAGATACTAGTACAGAACCAGTCACAGAGGAATTGACCACTCGTCGTAACAGATGGCCATCACGTGGGGAAAGTGAAGGACTGGTCCAAACCAGATCCATTCGTCTGTTCGCTTTCACTGTGCATTCGAGAGCGCTTATTCGTAGTATTTCGAGATAATATGGTACAGATATCACTGCTACGAGAAATGGTGGATATGGTTTGTCAGATCATTTCGTATCATTTGGCTATGCTAAAATTGTGGAATAGAAAAAAGGATTGAGCAACTCCATACTCTAACACACCAACATTAAAGTGTAAAAGAGGGGGCACCTTTCAGACCTCCTCGACACCCACCAAGTCCGACCGACCGAAGTCAAGACATCATGACAAGGTAAAGATCATCACCACTCCCTGGACCATCGCACCGACACCCGAAACAAGTCTACCGAGAGATAGATCGTAACAGAGCGTGCAAATGCAAAGTCGAGTCGGAAGTAAAACGGCTTCACTTTAGGGCATCGAGGACATAGCAGTCATCAGCAAGGGTGGAGATTCTGTGGCTCTTTAGAAGAGCTCAGAGGTGGGACGTCTACTCTAAAGTGATTCTTTGAACTGTAGGCAGAAAGTGGTTAGCTGATGATTCTCCAAAGTTGCATTGTGGAAGGCTGAAAGGCTCTTCCCAATGTTAGGGGGGAGGGAGACTAACGTAGAGTCGCTTAATTTTCTAAATGAATTGGGGGAAGGAGCCTTTTATATCTGCGCGGTGGACGCTCGCTTACGCTAGCCACTAGCGAGGTCATGTGTTTCGCCCGTTTTTGCTTGCTGTGGGACTGGGTTGTCCAATCAGCGCCCGTGAAAACTCTTTCCTTCTACCGGCCAGACCGTCACTTGGAGGTAGAATTCGCGTGTTACTGCTTCATGAAGCTTTCATTGCCTGTTTCTTTGACTAACAATTATTATTTTCAGCTACTGGTTAGTCCCGGACGGAACTTGCCTTCATGGTTGTGCCGCAGTAAAGCCGATGCATTTGGTGCCTGAGGACGGTAAGTATATCTATGAATCCGTTCGGCACAACCACTTTCATAAGTTATGCTTTAAATTTGTACTTTGTATACAATGGACTCCAACAACACCAGTCCTACATCCTACTCCAAACCTCTCCGTTCCCCAACGAGTAACACTATAGCGATCTTTTCTAGGAGAATTCGCGACACGTGCCCTGGCTGCATCTGACTTCAGCGCAAAATTCGGTCTTGGTCTCAGCTAGTAGTAGTCACTGTTTAAGTCAATACGGCATTCACCCTGAGACGATGATACCTCTGCGGACAAAAGACCTAGAAAAAGTCATCTAATTTACACATGGTGTACACAGGGTTGGAATCTGCTACCCGAAACAGTCTGTTTCTACTAGATTGACTGTCGGCTACCCTGCCGGGTAGCTTAGTATGGCTCATTTTTCAGTCTACATGGTGTCCCGATGAACGTATCAGGATCGCACCCCCTACAGCCATGACCGTTTGAGATTGATAGCCACTTCACCCCCACAGCACAGACTCTGCCATAGTTATACTTCCGGCATGTGGTCTATCTTCCGGGCACCAGGGTCCTTGTGCTACAGGGTCTGCTTCTTGGAGAAATGATGTAACAAGTTCCGAGGTTTATCCTGTCATGGAATACCAAGGTCATCGCTCGGCTATAGTTATCGGGAATTAGGTCAGAGACAAAGCATGCTAGGCGGCAGTCCCTTGTTGCAGCTGCTTGCAGGCATTGCTTTGCATTCCTCTAGATGAAGGTCTGGTGTATATCCTTAGTACAACTCTAATCGTAAGCTGCAGGGATAACCTTATAGTCTACGAGGAGAATAATGAAGAATTGAAAAAGTTCACTATGTGATAAAGGCCTTAGTATAACATGCAGACTTTCGGGGAAAACTCACTTCCTTGGATAAAGTAGAGAGTATCGACAGAGTTGCGCGGGTACGAGTTTCCGATGTAGAATAAGGCTAACATTGTTATTTGTGCGAACTGCACTGGCAATAAAGTTCGAATTAGGCGTTTTAAAGCCCGTTTCACGATCGACCCCCCGGGGTGAACAAGGCACAGACATCTTCCTGTTCGTTCATCCATCATGATCGTCCCCGTTCCTGCTCCGCCATTACCCAAGAATCGGTCGACTAGGGTCCTGGTGATCAGCAGTCCCTGATGCTTATACTTCCGTCGGGCTCCAGCGGCCAATCTTCCCACCAAAGAGAGCAATTCATCCAATGTTTCGACCAAAATTCGAGGCGGGTTGGAATTTTCCAGATCCCGAATGAACTTACAATCAACCAGGCGCTACATCACATTGTTTCAGAGAGACTGAACAGGTGCATCATCGATAGGCTATCAATGTCTTCCGGATCCATGCCAGCCTTGACGGCCCGAGCAGCCAAAGGTATATAAACCTCTTCCTTGCCCACTGAATAGTTTCTATCATCATCAGCATCGCATCCCATCGCATCTTAATCTCATACTCTCAAACTCTCAACATCTAAAAGCAAATCAGCTTCTTAACCAGCAAAATGAAGTTCACCGTCGGTTCTGCTATGGTGGCTACCACCTTCCTCTCCGCTGCGAACGCCGCTTTCCCCTCCATCCCCAACATCCCCGAGACCTGCTTGGAGATCCCCCAGGTCATTGGCAACAAGCCTCTCCAGCTGCTCTCCTACTTCCACAAGGAGGTCTGTGAGAAGAACTGCACTGCCACCATCAACCAGCACAACCAGTACCTTCAGGAGTCGGTCTTCCCCCAGATCATGAAGGATCTGGACCAGAAGCTGGACGTGCCCGCCTCCGAGCAGGCCTCTTTCCAGAAGATCCAGACTCAGATCAACTCCGCCATCGAGAAGGACTGCAAGTCTGAAGGCGACAAGCCCCTGTGCAATGACCTCGAGGGTCTGGCCAGCTACGGCCTCTGCGCGCTCAAGGCTAGCCAGCCCATCATCTTGAACAACATTGGCCAGCTCCAGGGCTCCATGAACATCACCGACGCCGACTGCACCAAGATCAAGCAGATCGACTCTGATGCGACTGTCTGGCAGAAGACCCTGCCCAGTTACATTGACAAGTTCGCTCAGGAGTGTGAGAGCGAGAAGTCGAACTAGAGGTAAGGCAGTTTGCCGATCCAATGCAAGCCCTGCTAACTGTTATCACCAAGGTTCGCGAGACCAAATCTTGGGTGATAGAAGCTTGCTATGTCGCAGGGACGTATAGTGTTAGGAGATCGGGAATCTTTGGCTTTTTGGATTTAGTCTGACGCTGTAGCAGCATCTGGGATGCTTGCCGTCGCTCCTTTGGACGCGTCGAATCGCAATGAGGAATGTCATTATGAGTGCCAGACATTGAAGGAATTTCCGTCGGATACTCTAGTTTAGATTCTGAAATGTGATATTTTGTTTTTCTGTCCTCCGTACCTGCAGTGAAATGTCGATCGTAATTTGCTGGTGCCTGAAATTCGGGGTTGAACCCCTGGCGCTCACGTGCCTGAGGATCATCCGCGGCGACTTCCGAATTGCTGCTTATCTCCATCCGATAACTTCATCCGATAGTGTTCCCTTACCAACACCATCAAATAACAATCTCCACACACTCTTTTCATTCCCCTTCAGACTGTCGTGGCACAATGCGGGGTGCTTCCAGTCTATCTCCTTGCAGAAAGCACCCTTGCCAGCCCCCGAACGAACCTCTCTGAGATTGGATCTACTTCACCGAACATCAGTGGCATCACGGGCACCCCAGACGGATCCACTGAGCATCTCGGCATGCCATCCTCGGTACCATGCCCCGCCCTAAAGTACACCCAGCCAACCGCCTAAGAGCCTACGAAGCTTGCAATGCATGCAGGTCAACGAAAAAGCGATGCAGTGGGACATTTCCATGTTCGAAGTGTATCAGGCTCGGACGCGCCGATACATGCGTGCCGAGTCCACGGTCCGCTGCTCAACGGCCGACTGCAAACACCCGAATCTCCGGCAATAGCAATGCAAGCTATGATTCTGGGCGTCGACCAACCACAACTCTCAGTGCAGGTAGCTTGGCAGGTCGGGCAGATTCCGCTAGCATCGAGGCTTCGGAGCCGAGTCGATCGACGGTAGATACTCAGCCTATGTCCCCAGAAACATTACATAGGACTCATCCACGGATGCTCCGCAATCTCCGTGGCGAACGAGGTAATATAGCACTAACTGGTTATATCAGGTGCTGTAGCTAATCCGCTTCCGGCAGTCTATGTGGGAAAGGCTGCCTCCTTGTCCTTTCTGCAACTAGTCCGGGACACTGTATCACAGTATATTGGGCCATCGCAATTCTCGCACAATGTGAAAAGCGAGGATATGCTAGAGATGGAGACACCGCATGGAACACCACCAACGCTAGAGAGTAGTCTGGACTCATATCAGCTACTCCAGTACTATCAGACATATAGCTCTGCTACGAGTGGCTTCATCTACGTCTTGTCAAGTGCAGAGGCTATGGAAGTTCTTGATGCTTTAATTGAGCCCAGCACACATCCAGACAGGACAGAAATGGCTGTTGCAGGTATGATAATTGCTATCGGGGCACAGGCCAGCAAACTCACTGTATCGACCGAGCAAGCCGAGCGCTATTTCTTCTCCCGTGCTCAACGCAGCGCCTTTGAGGGGATGTTGGAAAACCCCAGCTTGACTCTGATACGTTTATTCCTGTTGATGTCCTTCTACATGCTCGGTGCTTGTCGTCGGAATGCTGCCTTCATGTACCTTGGAGTGGCTGTTCGAGCTGCTGTGGCATTGGGTCTTCATCTTACCGAGCTCGCGGATGCCGTGCCTAGCCCTGAGCAACACCAGAGAGCAAGGGTGTGGATGAGTGTTTACAACCTGGACCTCCTAGTAAGCTCTATCCTTGGGAGACCAGCTGCGACAGCTGCTCTGCGTTCGGAAACAGAAGATGGTCCTATCCGTTACGCACTCCTGGAGGGCCATATGTCGATTGGCTTGGTAGCCTCCTATGGGGTCTCGAGGATCTTGGAGGAGATTATCTCGTCTATGTACAGCAAGGACGGAGCCTCGGCTGAGCTCGCGGACTCGCTTTTAGCCAAACTCAAACAATGGAGCGATGAACTACCGGGGCCATTGGTGGAGCCTCCTAATCTTGACTTTGACGAACCCGCTGCGCGAACCCACATCGTCAACAATCTTCACGTTTCTTGCATTTACCATTTTGCTGTAATCACGGCGACGCGACCCTTCCTGGTGTCAGTATTGGGTGTGCGACTGGCGCGCTTGCACAATGACTCCACAGACGGCACATCAAGTGATCTGTTGCACGAAGATGCAGCACATTCCAATCTTGCAACTGCTTGCATCGATTCAGCCTTGTACATGATACAGACATGCTCCGAGGTGCATCGCTCTGGACTCATGCTAGGTAATATGTGCATTCTGAAGGCTTTTGTATTTGCTGCCGCCTTGGTTCTCGGGTTCTCGATGTTCTCTCGGAAAGAGGCTGAGCCCTCACATGAACAGGCTTACAGGGAAGCCCTGGAGATTCTTCGTGTGCTTTCGGAGCAGTCCGCCCAGGCAGGACATTACTATGAGATACTCAGTTGCCTGGGAAATGCCGTGGCTGAGCAGCGTCGACGGCTTGTACAGCATTCCCGCCAGACCAAGGGTCGATATGTCAGTAAGCTTTTTAGTCTGGATGATCGCAGGCCCTCGGTGGAGGTACAGGAAGGGCTAGACACGCCATTTAACAATGGCGTTTCTGCTATAACCCCTGAAGCCGGCATCTCAGATCCATGGGCTGGCATACAACGCCTGGGCTTTATGGACTCTTTGGAGATTGATGCGGCATTATCTGGCCTCGACGGTATGCAGCTCCCGGTGTGGGATAGCTTTCCCTTTGTTGGCGAAGCTTTTCAGCTGCAGGGCAGAGTGGGTGATGTAACTTAATGTAGTATGAGGACGACTAATGCCGTAACTTATGATCTATTTGTGCATCATTTGGCAGGAGCGGGTATAGCGTTCCATGGTTATTTATCAGTCGTGTAAAAGGTGTCTAGTGGTGTCGCGGGTACGCGCCTTCAGACTCCTTTATTCCTATTTTCTTTCTATTTGGTTTACTACCTGGTGGGCGTTGTGGTATTGACTAGGTGCCGTGGCCTGTACTAGTAACGTACGTCTTCCATGGGCACCATTACTAGTAGTAGTCGGAAAGAACAGGAGTCTGTGATGTAGTTTGAGAAAAACAAGGGAGACCATATTGCGGATATATATACCTTCACCCGCCACCTACAGTACCTTTCCAATACAGACCACAACGACAGAATACTGCATAAAAGTACCAAGACAGGTCAAGATACATATGCCTTTACACACTGCAGGGCCACAGTGACCCAAATAAAAGCAAACTCGCATATTTACCACGAGAATGGATTATTCAAAGATTCGATTCTCTTTGATGGTTCAAACTGTGGGGCAAGCGGTTAGCTAGCCTCATATTACAAATATTGTGCACCATTTTTCAACAGCTGGCCTGCTGGCCCAATGGTAAGGCGCTTGACTACGGATCAAGAGATTGCAGGTTCGAGTCCTGCGTAGGTCATTTCTTTTTGCTTTTTATCTTTTGTTTCCCATGGTCTGCCGACTATAAACACCTCGTTCTCTCTCTGTTCTCTTCACAACTCCAACAGCTTGGTGTCGCCGAACGTACCATCACACTTCTAAAGTTCATTGCAGTCAAGCAGTGCATGAGGTAGGAGTATGGCTCGTGTCAACCCTGCACAAAATTTTTCTTTATTCCTAGACCCTACATATGCGCATGAGCTGCATACTGACTCGTGTGAGTGATGCCTGACGAAGGTTGTCAATGTCCGTCCGTCAGCCAGCCTCTGCACGCACCATGCTGCAGGATGCCCGCGAGACAACTCATTTGCCAATAATATCCGTCCTTTCATTTCCGACCCCTCCCAAAGGCTTCACGCGCTACAGTGAACTACTAGTTTAGATGGTGGTTGGTGGCTGTTTCGTCTCCACCTTCGCAGCTCCAGCGGCCCGCCGAGCGGGTCGTAGATGCATCGTGTCTTACTATCAGAGAAGCCTGATTTGTCTGCAACTCTCCCTACAACAGCTGGGGAGTATGCTAATCCTCGCCGGTCTTCCTATTCCCCGCCCAATACTAGATGATGCCGTTGGTTAGCATGCGACTGGCGAATAATTCTCCTACGACTGCAGCCACTCCCGTTGGTGCATGTAACCGGCGACGATTAAGGATGACGATGATGAGTTACGGTTGATGAAATTTCTCCTCACTCTTAGGGGCTGAGAGAAATGCACCAAGAAGTGCCATGGTCTCACCAGCCGTTACAGCAGATGCGCCGAGCAAGGCTATGGCATCGTGCATAGTCGTTTTAACGGCGACCGGCCTGGATCAGCTCGTCCTCACCTCCCTCCCCACGCCGATCACCGAGTCATGACCTTCATGGATGGCATTTATTCATCACGACAGACCATCTCAGCCAATGTATACCCCGTCATAAATGGGGTCTTTGGCAGCCGTGCAGCTAGTTGACGCTCAGTTATGCGTCTGCAATCACCTCCGATGCTAATACGGCTGAAATGAGGAGCACAAGTGTATGCACGACCCCCTCTTGACCCCGCAACATATGAAATGCAATATATCGTGCAGTTACAAGGATGCGCTTGCATTCCTCCTTATACTTATGAGGGCATCCCCGTCCAAAGGACCCAATTTTGCTGTTTCCTTCAAGAACAGCACACCGCCGGACCACGGAACCATGTCCCTGCTAGTGAGAGCCATTGTTGGCCTGCTTGGCCTTGTCATTCTCAAGTCCTTCTTGACCCGCAAAAGGTTTCCGGCCCCACTCCCCCCGGGCCCCAAGCCAAAGCCGATCATCGGGAACCTGTTCGACCTACCAGCCAATGGAGAAGCAGATTGGCTGCATTGGTACAAGCACAAGAAGACCTATGGTGCGTATAGTACTGACACATATGTGCCTATTCACAGCTAATGATACCTGTAGGCCCCATCAGCTCGGTACAGGTCTTTGGAGAGACCCTCATAATCGTTAACGATGCCCGGATTGCGGTTGAGTTGTTGGAGAAGCGTTCAGCTATACACTCAGACCGACCTAGCTTGACATTTATCGAGATGTTTGCAACCACCGCCTTCAGGACCGGTTGATTCGCTGCTAACAGGTGGCTAGGTGCGGATTTAAGGATTTGTTCAGTCTGAGGAACAACAATGAACCCGCGTGTCCGGACTGAGCGGAAGCTATTCTATCAACAAATTGGTTCAAACAATTCTGTTGCGCGGTTCAATCATATCCAAGAGGCCGAAGTTGGTCGTACCCTGCTTCGGGTGCGTGATAACCCCGAAGGTCTGCAAGACCACATCCGGAAGTATGCCCGCCATATTAAATCCTGGAGATGCACCAGAGCTAACGGTTATATACAGACAAGCAGCAGCAATCATCTTGAAGGTAGCATATGGATACAGCGTTGTGCCACATGGGGATGACCCACTGGTGAATCTTATAGCCCGGGCGATGGGAAATCTCGGCGCGGCCCTTGTTCCCGGGGTGTGGCTAGTGGATTTTATTCCATTCTGTATGCACTGTAGCTCACACAACGAGAGGAAAAGGCTGACTGGTTGATTAGTGAGGCACATCCCGGCCTGGTTTCCAGGTGCCACATTCGCACGCGTTGCAGAGACCTTCCGAGAAAGCGCCCGAGCCTGGAACTGTCAACCGTATGAATTTGTCCGGCATCAGATGTCGCAAATCAAGCACGCACCATCCTATCTATCCGGTTTACTCGAGGCGAAGGGGGTTCCAGAGCCAGGCTCCTTTGATGAAATCGTCATGAAATGGTCTGCCGCGGCAATGTACGGTGGAGGATCCGACACGGCAAGTCAACCACCCTGAACTTCGTAAACCGTATCTAACCATGAGCAGACCATATCCACTTTGGGCGGACTTTTCCTCGCGATGGTTCTCTACCCGGATGTACAGCGAAAAGCACAGGAAGAAATTGACCGAGTTGTCGGGACAGACCGTCTTCCCAGCTTCAGCGATCGCGAGAACCTGCCATATATCGACGCCATGGTTAAAGAGGCCCTCCGTTGGCATTCCGTGACCCCAATGGGGGTTGTACACAGCTCGTCGGAGGATGACATGTACGAAGGCTACTTCATCCCAAAGGGTTCCCAGATCCTGCCGAATCAATGGTGAGACTAGCCCCTTTCCAGTCAATGTCGAAGTCTATGTCTAATATCTCTTCAGGGCCTTCACCCACGACCCAGATGTTTACCCCGACCCTATGGCCTTTAAACCCGAGCGATTCTTAGCAACTGAGAACCACGCCCCCGAGCGCGACCCCCATCTCCTCGCCTTCGGATTCGGCCGTCGCATCTGTCCCGGCCGCACACTGGCAGATTCCAACGTCTACCTGAGTATTGCGCAGTCGCTGGCCGTATATCGCTTCACTAAGCCCATCAAGAACGGCAAGGAAGTGGACGTAGAGCCGAAATTCTTGAACGGGGTGATCAGTCACGTGGCACCGTTCGAGGTGGGCATTAAGCCCAGGAGTAAGCAGCACGAGGCGCTGCTGAAGGAGTTGGAGATCAAGTATCCGTGGGAAGAGGGTCACGCGGCAGAACTCAGTCAGGTGAAGTTTTGAACAGATGAGTTCCTTGCATGGCTGATCGATAATGTTTGTCAGATCATGCATGATTTAATTGCAAAGTAGTTGGGGGGCATCTCCCGTTGGGCAGAATGATCAGTTTTAGTTTGTCAGATGTTACCAAGGACTTAGTTATCACGGGTAGCCAGAAATTAGGCAGACAAGTCAAAACCACCCAGTTAGTTTAGGTAACCGCGACCACCAACACCAACAAATTCATTAATTAAGTCACTGTAGAATCAGCGTGACAATTATCTGACTCATCCAGCCCCATTCTGGGAGCCTTAACCAATAGTTAAATGAAGCAAAGGAGATGAAACATAGGTAAGAATCGCCCAGCCACTATTTATCACTTATTACTTATATACCCAATAGCCTTGATCTACATACCACACTTATTGATACTTATACTGGTTACCCCCGCAATTTCGCCACTCACTCACTGTCAACCACCAACTCTAACTAACCTGACATTCTTTACTACCTACTACTTATCTATCCACCTCTACCACAACTATACTATACTATACTACAATTACATCCACATCTTCATCTCCATCCACAAGCACACTATACCAAGACCAAACCAACAACCATGACACTCCAACTCCCATCCCCACCACCATCACCAACCCCCACCTCAAGATCAAATTCAGACTCAGGCTCAATAACCCTCCCCCGCTCACAACAAAGCATCGAAACCGATCTCGCAACCCTCGAAGCCATGATCGAGGAACTGGGCGAAGCAGGGCGGAGGGGAAGGATTGGTGGAACTGGAACTGGAACTGGAACTGGAGCTGGAACTGGAGCTGGAACTGGGAGAGGACGGAGGAGGACGAGGACGAGGTGTGTGGAGAGGGTGGAGGATGTGAGTGGGGCGATGAGGGTTTGTACGATTGGGGGATGAATTTCTTGCTCTGGTCTGCTATGCTTTGCTCTCTTTGTTTAAGGTTTGGGGATGAGCGATGGGGTTGCGCGGTGTTGGGTGGTTATTCGTTGTGGATTTCAGGGAGTTACTTGGTGATGGGATTCTTTGGGATTTTGGGGGATGGTGTTGATGATGGATATGTATATGGCTATGAATGTGGCTGTTTAGCGTGCTTTTGCTTGGGGGTTTGGGTTTGGTTTTAATCGAGGATAGATGGGTGGCGAATTTGCTGCTGCTTGCTTTGGATCATAGCTATGGTGTTTGGATTGCTTACTGTCGAGTTATCTTGATCATAGATCTGCTATAGTATGGGATGATGGTAAATGTATATTGTATATTGCTTTCAGATTACTAGATATTATTACATGGATGATCCAGCTATTTCCACCTGTGGATGTGTGTTCGTGTCGTCGTATCAGCGTAGATGTCATATCAGTGCATCGTATATGTAGCAGCCAGCTGCTACTGACACGATTTTATGTCAAGTATCCAATCAGTTGCATCATCTTGTGCGACTGAAGAGCGATGGACGTGCAAATGGCTGCCGTTATACTGCCACCATCGCACGGTTCAATAGCCTGAAAGAGTTAGTTTGGCTCAAGCTCATTCTTATACCGATAAGGCACACACCTTGCACTCATATTCCAAAGCAAAAAGACACAGAGAAAGATAAGCCCATGAATTAAAGCTGCACGCACGTTAGCTCACAACCCCAAGCAATAAAATCAGATGCAGACTGACCTTCATTTCCAAAAGATCTGATCATCTCCCAACGACCACGTTTCTTCATCCACAATGGAATCAGATCCTTCTGACAAGTTCTCCCCTCAATGACCAGGCACCCACCCGGGTGTGCCCTACACTCCAGATGCCGTCTTCTGCGCTCCATGATCATTCGAATTGTCTTATTACAGAAGGCCTCGTCCGTCCGGAACGAGCATTTCTCCATGGGACAATCAAGTTTCTGCGAAAAGCGCTCGACAAACCAGTCGACTTTGAGGTGAACGCCGGTGTAGACGAGAGAGTAGAAATGACGACAGGTGTGTTTCAATGCTAGTGCATCTGGGTATGGGAGAAATGTGGAGATATGTAGATGGAGTTCTGTGGGGAGGTCCATCAAATTGAGGGAAGGAATAGCTGGGGTTTCTTGGAGTGATGATGAGTCCATTGTGTGTGTGTGTTATTTGTTTGTGTGGAGGGTAATGTGATGTGGATGTAAGATGGAAGAAGTAAATGTAGTCTATGAAGATATGAATTGTAACCAAGCTGTGAATGCTGAATGAATATCGTCCTTTTGCTTGGATGCTCTAGACACCTTAATATCATCAGATATTTGGTTGCCTTGGGGAATTATTGAGGCAGCTTAATTGTTGCCTAGGCGCCGAAAATAAGATGCCTGATTGTGGCTATACGAGACTAGGCGGCAAAGAATTGAGCTGATTCAAGCACTCGGAAGGTTAAATGAATAAAGTGGAGATAGGGTGTAGGCAGAGCGACTGTCCTGAATATCCAATCCATTAACAAGGTTCAAGTATATCTTAAAATAGAAAGTCTAGACTTCGAGAGGACACTCCAAATATACACCAAGATTAAGCAGAGATGGGTAAGGGTAAGGGACACCACCACAACAACAAGAAGTAAGATCCGGGGATGTCCTGCAGATCCGCCCACCCCGCTTTTCCCACCGCCTGCCTTTTCTGCCAGCGAGCTTCTTTTCGCCTCCGATAACCATCGACATCAACTAAATATCAAGCTACCATCTCTTAATTAAACCAACACGTACACACGCACATCCCAGCACCACACCCATCTCCCAACAAAATTACCCAAAAGGGTACCCTTCTAACCACCATGAGCACCAACAACAAGCAATCCTCCTCCGCCTACGGCACGCCCTCCTCGGACACGGCCTTCCGCAAAACCTGGGACCGCGAAGAATACGCCAAAAAAGCCGCCGACGACGAAGCCAAGCGCAAAGAAGAATCCAAAGCCCGGTATGAGGCCAAACTACTAGGCAAGAAATGGCACGCGCCCGTGGATTACAGCCAACTGGAAGCCACGACATCGCGCAAAGAGCGACTCGATGTCGCTTCGATGGTTGGCAAGACGACCATTGTTGCGTCGGGATCAGCGATTGGAAAGAGAGGTCGGGGTGCGGGATTTTACTGCTCGGACTGTGACTTGACGTTCAAAGACAACTTGCAGCTTGTGGAGCATTTGAATAGCAAGCAGCATTTGATTGCGACGGGACAGAGCGGAGAGGTGACGAGGGCTACGGTGGAGGATGTGCGGGAGCGGTTGAGGATGCTGGCGTATCGGAAGCGGGTGCGCGAGGAGGAAGAGAGACGGGCTTGGCAGTTGGATCTTGGGGAGAGGTTGAAGGAGCGGGAGGAGCAGGATGCTAAGGAGAGGGAGGAGAAGAGGAGAAAGAGGAATGAGAAGCGTCGTAAGGGAGGCGATGGGATCAAGCAGGAGGATGAGAGCTGGGAGGGCAGGTTGGGGATTATTGCGTAAGCTCGTGTGGTTGAGCTTGGGCATGTGCATGGTCTGTTTTGGGAATCGTGGTCATAGATGGGATGGTTTATCAGGGCTAAAAGCTGCAGTATACCCATGGCGTTTGGAGCTTGAGCATTTAATATTCGCAGACTTTCGTTTTATCCAAACACGGAACATATCATTGTCGCATGAGAAAGCGCAGAAATCCCATAAGCATATACCGACTGCACCGTTATCAACAGAAGTTGCGGCGAAAATATTGTACCACTGAAAAAACAAGATGAACCCAAGTACCTATCCAATGCCCATTACCCCACCCGCATACTCCTAACCGATAATACCCAAGTGACCCGCTCAATCTATGCATTCTATGCCTTCCAAGACCCGCATAGCTCGAGCACCCTCTCGTTCGAATTGGCTGACTAGCCTCTCGCACTCCTGCTTGAGTTTTTCCTCTCCATTCTTTGCGTTCCACTTGATCCATTCCTCGACGGTCATCTTCTTCTCAGGGCTTGTCAAGTCACCCTTGACACTATGTAAACCGCCAAAGTCGATGTTCTCTTTGTCACCTCCAGCCAAGATAATTCCATCAATGTCAATGGGAGTCCACGGATGGGATGTTTTCAGGGAGTTTGCATTCGCCCCTCGCTTGGATGGGGAAGGAGTGCTGGCCGCAAGTGGAATTCGAACCTGCTTAGACGGCGACGCTACTGGCGCCCGGTTCACAGACGGTTTCAAAGACGGTGGCTGATTCTCGGCGTCAGATGATTGCGGCGACAGTGACAGAGTGCTCTTGGAAGGCGAGGGAAGAGGCGACACCGCAGCAGGCTCAGGTCCTTCTCCCGGCTGATGGTTGTCTTCCGGTGCTGGGTCGACGTGGGAGTTTCGAGATTCTGCTAGTGACCTGGCATATTGCTTCTCCCTGGGAATATCGCTGTATCTTTCCACCGTCTTTGGAGGAATCCTCGATGATCTGCGTCGAGCAGATGGCTGATCTGGGGTTTGATTTTGAGGCTTCTCTTGCTCAAGTTGTTGCGGGGTGTCAGGCTGTTCTGGCTCGTCTGTCGCCCTGTTCTCAGCCTTGGCGTGGCTCTCTTCGTGGTCAAGTTCTACATCGACCTTCTGTTCTGCCTGTTTGGAAGCTCGCTGCTTCTCCGCCGAAGCCTTTTTCTTCGTCTTCTTAGATTCCTTGTCATTCTGAGCTGCACCGACGCCTTGCTCTGAGTTCCTTGCTGGAATTTCTACAGAAACGAATGACTCATGTTCCTTCGAGTCGGCCCCAGCGTTAGTCGTAGGTTCAGGCTCTAGTTGTGTGACGGGCTGGTGAGACTCTTGGTCATGGCTGCTATGCCGAAGCTTATCGGAGACTCTTGCACTCTGCCGTCTGCTTGTGCGGCGGGTCTGCTGAACCTCTTCGACTGGTGGTTCCGGTTCTGGTTCTGGAGCTTTCTCAGGCTCTGGAATCACCTCCTCCTGCGACTCCGGTTCTGTGCGCTGCTCTACCACTTCATTCGACGGCTCCGGATCCGCCTTGGCCTTCTTTTTCGATTTAGACTTGGACATTTTCAACGGCTTAGTCTGAGGCTCCTCGCTTGGCTCGCCACTGGGTTTTTCCAAATCTTGGTCGACATCCATTGCTGCATCCTGCTCCTGGGTGGGAGGGATCTCCGACGCGGCTCTCGAGACGGCTGAATCCGTGGATACCTTCCGGCTCTTGGATGTCGTTTTCTTCTTTGTTCCACGACTCTTCTTTGGCTTCTCTTCTTCGACAAGAGGATCGTCTACTTGAACATCTTCCTTGACGGCCTCCAGGCTGCTGTCGTATTCCTGCTGTGTGCTGTTGCGTGACTTGGTGGCTCTCTTTTTGGCCGGTCGTTCGGGCTTTTCCACCGTCTCTGAGTCGACAAGTTCGGCATCGTCCTTGAGTTCGTCACTAGTTCTCTTATTTCCCCTGGTGCGTTTCGTCTTTTTGGGTTCAGGCTGGCTGTAATCCGTGGTATCGATATCCATCTGACTGTCAGCGTCCACTACTTCTTCCTTCTTTGACTTTGTCTTCGATTTGGATTTGGAAGACTTCTTCGAGGATTTCGTTTTTGTAGTTGATTGGGACAGGGTACTCTGGTCTACCGGGTCGTCTAGCTCAGACACTGGCGCTTCCGATGCGGTGGATTGTGTGGATAGACGGGAAGCCTTCGAAACACGAGACTTTTTGGACCGGGAGCCTTTTCCTTTCTTTCCAGAAGGTTTGGCAAAGACAAAGAAGGAGCAATCTGACGAGCGACGGTAATGTTCATCACTGATCTAGTTAGCGATAGCCAGGAAGGAAGGAGCAACACAAACTCACAATGGATCATCCTTGGGTTCCCAGCCATCCAGAGACAGTTTACAGTACGGGCAGGTGGCCAAGTCGTTGCTTTCCTCGTTCGGACAGAAGTACCATCCACCTTCCACCATCTGTAATGCATTGCCACAGTTAGACTCCCAGAGCGGAACCGGCACAGCAGGTACAGCAGCAACACTCAACATACCTTATCGGATTGGCAGTACCAGCCTCGCTTTCCGTCATGTGGCCATGACTCGCCAAATGTGGCTTGCCGGGCTTGCGCTATCCGCTCGCTTGTGGGATCCTCGATCTCCGCAGGGTTGGAGCTGTGCTGTTGAATATCCATCATGATAGCCCAGCCACAGTCCCGCGTGTGCTTGAGATGCTCTGTAATAGGGTTGTCGTCTTCCTCCCAACCATCTAGTGCTCTGCGGCATAGAAAGCATGTTGTGTTATCGGGGTTTGTTTCGTAAGGGTTATAGAAGAAACCTGCATGCGCAAGCTATGACCGTGTGACATATCAGCAAGT